AATGGGATTGTTAAAATAAACATGGGTGATTGTAACATGCTTGGGAGTTTACACAACTGTCCCGGTTGCAAGAGCCAAGATAGTGTTGTTGTGTTTATCATAGACAAGGGATGGCCTTCATTTGGGGATTGGATTGATTTCTAACAGAAAGATTATTCTGTAAATCCAATTCCCATGCATATGCTTAATTTACACGTATCTCAGTTTGTTGATTCAGTTGTTTGAAGGTCCAGATGTAGTCTTTTGGAAGACCTGACCATGTCATTTTTATATCTTTATACAATTAAATTTTCACTTCTTCATTTTTAAAGCCTCATTTTGGCTTGGATAGTTTTAAATGACAGCATACATACATAGAGGGAGAGAGAAAGAACTAACATCATTAAATTGATGGATCAGAGACTTACACATTTTTACATGAACTTTGTCTCCTGATTTCAAAAAGTACAAGACAAATCTCTTTCCCAAGTTCACTTCGTCTTTAGCACCTCATTTATGTCATTTGTGTTATCTTTCTGTACTAGGGCAACATACAAATTATCAGATTTCAGACAGTGGAGGCTGAGATATTCCTCATGCCTCATTGTTTAAAGATGCTTATTTTATAGATTAGTTCCATTTTGTTAGTTGTCTAGATAACAATCACCATTTGTTTCATTTACTCCCATCATGGTGTTGCCTCAAAGATACATGGATTCTTTAAACTGGAAAAAAAAAAAGTCTTATTAAATGTCCATTCAGGAGCCAGTAGATGGCGTGGTGGGTAAAGTGCTGGATTCCCACATGGCTGATGGCAGTTCTAGTCTCGGACCCAGAGGCTTGAAAATCATATGCTGGATGTGTGTGCATGTGTGCCCTAAGTCCTAGGAAGAAAAGACAAGGAGAAGGTTTTGTGGCATTGCCATCCCCTCTGGGGGTAGAAGGGGGGATTTCTCACTTTCTCTCTCACTGTCTCTCTCTGGAGAACACATGCACCCTATGGCAAAAATTGTAAAAAAATATTTCAATGCAGATAATAATGGTATAGTAAGTATAATTAAACTAATACTAATAACCATACGTTTGTTAACGTATATATTCAATGATATGGCATGTCAGATACTTCTAACATTTATATCTACTATTACTATCGGGCTATTTTGATTAGCATGCTTTTAATAGTATGTAGGCATAGTTCAGGTTACCAGTGTCTTAGAACTATCACAGATCGACAAGACCCAGGGAAGATAATGTGTAGGATATTATGATATTAAAAAAAAGTCTTTCCTCTTCTCCATCTCTGTACCTTAAAGTAGAGAAAGAAATTTCTTGTGCTCTCCTCTCTCTCATGTCTAAGAAGGCAACCATAGGTAGGGTGTTGGGTAAAGATATCATTTGAGGGGCCAGCAGGTGGCATAGTGATGATGGTGCTAGACTCCCATGTGGCTAATGGCAGTTCAAGGCCCAGAGTCGTGGGTGTGTGTATGTCATTCCCATCCTCCCCAGGTGGGTGATTTCTCACTTCCTCTCTGTGTCTCTTGTGAATGCACTCTATAGCAAAAATCTCTTTTTAAAAATGTCATTTACTTGCCATCATTTTGGTCTTCTACTGGGATATAATGGACATGTACAGTGTCCAGTTGCCATTTTTGGAGACAATTTGGCTTTAAAGTGAGACCTGACTTAAATGGAACGTACCTTTTAGAGTTTTTTTCTGCCCACAGAGATGATGCTGTCATATCCCATTGGGACTTAGTGGGTTGGTAGATCCTTTGTCTCTCAATAGCAATCCATGCTGTCTTTGTTGGGAATGCTTTGTCTGACAGAGAGGTGAAGGCAGGAGTGTCTGCCTCTACCACTGCAGTGTGTATTAGATAGCACCAAAGAAAGCTCATGATTAGGTGGCGGGGGGGCGCAGGAGAAGCAATGGAAAGGCATAGTATTAAAGACTGTCAAGATTCCTGTCTGAAAATGCAGAATGTGTCCAACTTTCGGGCCACCATGGAATCTAGGGCATCCTTTCCATCGCTGGAGATCATTAATGTGCAGCTTCAGTAACTTCGAATGTGTCATGTCAGCTGCTTCACTGCTGTAAGGGTTCAAAGGGGTTAGAAATCGCTTCTCTTCTAAGGGCCTTTATAGACGACCCTTACAAGAATAGGTAGATCTGGGCATGTGCAGGGGGACGTGCTGGCAGACACAGAAGGCCAATTTGAGTCCATCAGTTTAACCCAGTTAAGAAAGCACAACAGAGGGGCCATCAGGTGGTGTGGTGGTTGGGGCACTGGATTCTCACTTGGCTAACCACAGTTCAAGTCCTGGACCTGGCGGCTTGCTTTCTCACTTTCCCTCTCTCTCTCTCTCTGGTCAAATTAAAAAATAATGCTATGATGAATAAAATTAAATAAAAGAATTCATTTTTAAAAAGAGAGAAAGAAAGCACAACAGAGAGTCTACCTTATGTCAGGTCCAGGAGGAAGGGGTACTGTCATCTGAGCCTGTTTCCTCACCTCTTCCTTGTCTTTATTTTTTCTTTTTCTTTTTTTCCTTTTTTAGCTGTTTTCATGGAAAGTCATTGTGCTGTAGAAGTAATATGACACTTAGAATCAGAAACCTTCACAGAAAAGGTAGTAAACTCTAGCAAGCCTCGGTTTCTTCATAGTAATAAGATTTGTTGTTAAATAAACAAACAAAAATAAAACCAAATCAGCGGCATGGATTATATTCACATGCTAGAGAATCCACACCACCATGTATTTGGAAACCTTTCTTATTACTTGAGGCAAAACTCTGTGACCAGTAAGCAGTATCTTCCCACTGCCCTTTCCCTCAGCCCCTGGTAAGCTCTTAAGTTCTATCTCTATACATTTGCCTACTATTTTATTATTATTATTTTTTAGAGAGAGATTTTTTTGCTATGGGTCATGTGCACTTGCTGGAGAGACAGAGACAGAGAGATAGAAAGTGAGAAATCATCCCCTATGGAGGATGGCCACACTGCCATCCCTTCTCCATTCTCCTCTTGGGATTTTGGTCACATAGGCACATGCAGTC